ATTTTTCTTGAAGACGTTTCACTGGTCATCCAACCAGCTTTCTCAATTCAGAAGAAATGAGACCATACCGTGTTTCCCCGAAAATAAGAAACTGGGGGAGGACCGGACGAGGTCCCGGAAGGCGGCGTGCTGTTGCCGGTCACAGGTGTCGGAGGATGATATGCCGCTTCCATCGTGTGGGCGGGGAGAGCGGGGCGGGAGCAGCGGCCAGTCTTTACATTTAACATTCAGTTTATGTGCGTTTACCCCGAAAGTAAGACCTAGCGGATTTCTGTAATATAAGACCTACCACCGAACTAGGTCTTATTTTCGGGGTAGGTCTTGTATTACAGAAATCCCTGAAGATAGCGCTAGGTCTTACTTTCGGGGTAGGTCTTACTTTCGGGGAAACACGGTCGTGTCAGATTTACTGCCTGTCAGCTAGGTCTGGTGGGGCTCTCCTGTAAATTTGGGCAAAGAAAAGGGCCGTTTTATACTGAAGTGCTAAAAAATAGATCCATGTTCCAGGAGGAGCGCCCCTCCCTATTTTCCTCTATCAAAGAGAGCAATATTCTAATTAGTGGATAAATACCGTCTGCATAAAGCTAGTGCTAGGCTTTCTGCTTTTATTTTTTTTAATAAGCCTGCCATGCTCTACAGCAACTGCCCCAAATAATAAACGTTTCCCTTTCAGCAAGGTTGTAACATTGACTCCAGCGCCGTGGAATGGTAATGTGACGCGTTTTTGTGTCTTGCAGGGTACCAGTGATTTCTGTGTGGCTCCCGACAAGTTCATCATGAATATGACCCAGGATCAGATCAGTGCAGGTAAGGGTCTCCCTCCCATGACTCTGGACTACGGGCTCAACTTACTAAGCTAGAACAGCAGTGACAGTCAATAAGAATGAAAAAAAAAAATAAGTTACATGGCTGAGTAGAATGACCATTATTGGAAAGAACGCTGTATGGCCAAAAGTATGTACACCCCCCTTCCTAATGACTTATGAGTTCAGGGGTCTCCGGTGACAGGTTTCCTTAATTCTCCATCATACAAACACATTGTAGACCATTGAGCTCTTCCAGCCTTGTGGTCACAGTTTGGTGAAGACCCTTTTCTGTTCCACCATGACTGTCCCCCGTGTACAAAGCCAGCTCCATAAGGATATGGTGTGACCAGCTTGGTGGTGGAATTCAAGTGTCCTGCACAGAACCCCAACCTCAACCCTACTGAGCACCTTTGGGATGAATTGGATTGTGAGCCGGGTCTTCTCATCCAACACCAGTACTGGTGATGTGGCTGGGCTTGGTGCAAACTCAGTTCCCCGATGCCCGTTCAAAACTGTGACTGCCACCCCCTCCACGCAAAGCAATCAGTTGCGGGGTGCAGCGTTCCCTACCCCACAGCTATAGGGGCGGATTGGGTCGGTAGGAGGGAGTAGTGGTCAAAGTTTTGAAAGTGCTTGGCCGAAATTAGTGTTCGCACCAAGCTCAGCCTCACCACTAATCAGTACCTGATCTCACAAATGTCCACAGACATTCTTCAAAAATCTTGTGGCCATTGGATGGGGTGCAGCTCTTTATGAATGGTCATGGGTGTAACAGCTCCATATTAATGGCTGTGGGGGGGAGGGGGACTCCATATTAATGGCCAAGGTTTTTGGAATGGGATGTATGATCCGCCTGTCTGAACAAGTATGCAAAGCAGTATGGGCCACTAATTCATAATTGAGGCCAGAGGCAGCCAGGCAATCAGCATTCTCAAAAGTTGATCAGCAGAGATATCCTACACAATTTACTGCAAGGTTTGGAAATTCAGAGGATCGAAAGCCTATAGATAGATAGATGATAGAGAAAGGCACCGATAGGCCCCATCTATCTGCTTTTCTCTGACTCTCCATCTGTCGGTTCTCTTTCTCCCTCTTTGTATGTCTTTTATGTGTCCTTCTATTCTCTCTCTCTCCCCCTCCCCATATCTCTCTCTCCCCCTTCCCATATCTCTCTCTCTCCCCCTCTCTCTCTCTCCTCCCTCCCTCTTCCTCTCTCTCCCCATCTCTCTCTCTCCCCCCATCTCCTGGCTGTATGTCTATGCCTCTGTTGTGTTTCTCATTCCAGAAGTGGTTCATTACTACCTGTACTGCAGCCAGAGCCTGAAGAATCCCTTCCAGCAGGTGAGCCGCCAACACGCGCAAGTCTCCAATATTCTCTTTTATTATGACGTAGTTTCTGCCAACTCTTCATATTATTCAGACGCGGCCGGGAGCAGCCAGGGCAGCATTGCACTCTCTGCACGCCTTCCAACCCAAGACTAAGTATTCCATCAGTATTGTATACCCCATCACAGGAGATCCCCCGGGTGTACGTCCATTTATCTAAGCTGCCACCGACAGTGTTCATTGCCCTTACCCCTTAGCTGTATATCAGTGCTTGCCACACAACCTCTTCTACTTTTATTAGAACCAATTGTTATCATAGCGCATCTTTACGTCTCAGCGATGGCTGGATGTATTTTTATTTATTTGCTTGTATTCTCTCCCGGACAGAGTAGAAGTGTCAGGCTGGAGCACAGTAACTTTAACATGATAAAGAGGAGCATCCCTTAAATCCATCAGATGTACCCCTTAGGTTAAGCTTTTTGGGGATCTCTAGCCTAAGACACGCCCCCTTTTACACCGTGACTGTAAAGCCCCACGCAGAATCCGAATTGCAGCAATGTTTATTCACGTGATGTCCAAGAGTCGTTGTTCGATTTTGCACGCTAGAAGCCAAGAAGTAGGAGATCGGACGGCCTTCGAGGTCTCTAGCTTGCCAACTCTACCCTAACAGGGGGAGAATACAAGCAAATAAATGCATCATTCTGAGAGATGCCAGTTCAGTGGCTACTTCTTTACACCAATAACGGTGCGTTTTTAATCTCATCGGTTTTCCTTCGCAGGCTTTAAACGTCTTCCAGAAATCTCTCAACACGATGCAAATCCAGGTCCAAGGGCTCCTTCAGTTTGCTGTCCCGATCTTTCCAACAGCTCAGGTGAGACCTTCAGGGGTAAGGAAGGCAGCTTGCCAGTAACAGGAAGTTGTGGTCTTGCGGTTAGCAGCCTGTTTTGGTGCCACACACTAGGGAACCTGATTGGTTGTTGGGGGATCCACACACTAGGAAACCTGATTGGTTGTTGGGGGCTACACACACTAGGGAACCTGATTGGTTGTTGGGGGGCCACACACTAGGAAACCGGATTGGTTGTTGGGTGCCACACACTGGGAAACCGGATTGGTTGTTGCGGGCTACACACTAGGAAACCGGATTGGTTGTTGGGTGCCACACACTGGGAAACCGGATTGGTTGTTGCGGGCTACACACTAGGAAACCGGATTGGTTGTTGGGTGCCACACACTGGGAAACCGGATTGGTTGTTGCGGGCTACACACTAGGAAAACGGATTGGTTGTTGGGGGCCACACACTAGGAGACTGGATTGTTTGTTGGTGACCACACACAATAGGAAACCGGATTGGTTGTTGGGGGCCACACACACTAGGAAACCGGTTTGGTTGTTGGGGGCCACACACTAGGAGACCTGATTGGTTGTTGGGGGCCACACACTAGGAGACCTGATTGGTTGTTGGGGGCTACATTGCCATGTTCTCACATCTTAAAAAAAAGATTTTCAAGAGGATTTGAGACAAAACAGGATATTCTGTCATCTGAAGCGTCTGAATTGGGCGGGAATCCTCGGCTTGTGTTTTTGTCTGGATGTATCTTTTGGGAAAGTTTTGATCTCCGTGGAAAGACACCGAACTCGTCTCCTCGGACGTCCTTCTTCAAGGTCTCCTGGAGCGGCGTGGTGAAGGCTCCGAGCCAAACGTTTCACGGTGATCTCTTGTCAAAAGCTGCTTTGCCGTAATAGTTTCCTTCCGCCGCTCGCTGCCACAGAGCCGAGAGGACAAGACCTCTGGGAACAGTTTCTTTTTTTGTACAAAGTAAAAGTGCGTCAGTTTACTGATATTTGTATGGAGATTGTAGTCCATCCCGGGGGGGGGCTTGGAGCAGTGACTACAACACACACAGGGACCATGGGGAACAGACGTAGCCCCCCTCCAGAAGGAAGGACAGTGTCAGAGATGATTGGAGGATCTACAGCCGAGTGACACACAAATCAGATACATTGTTGCTCAGAGTTCCGGGACTGGAATGTATTTTTAAGATGTAACTCCGGAGTTTAGTGTCACTGTAACATTTCTACATGTTTCCTATAACATAGAATGTCTTCCCTTTTGGGTTCAGGTCACTTTAAGGCCATCATGACCATATAGATACGTACAATCTGTTGTTCATTGTATCAAATACCGCTTCATCCTCAACCTTTTAAACTCTCTCAGATCACTTTCATCATTTGATCCTTTCTCTCTAATTTTTCCAGAAAGATCTTCTTGGCATACAGGTCCTGCTGAACTCCTCCGAGTCCAACCTGCACCAGCTGACAGCGCTGCTGGACTGCAGAGGACTCCACAAGGTGAGTTAGAGGACTCTCTATGTTGCCTATAGCAGCCAATCGGATCCCAGCATTCACTTTTCCCTAGAGTAAGCAAGACAATAAATCTGGCTGTGAACCCTGGGCTGAATAAATATTGTATAAATACAAGAGTCGTGTGTCTGCTTACTTCAATGTTGGTGTCCCTTATGTAGTTCTTTTGAGATTTGCAGTATTTTAGCATGTTGATGCGGGAGCTTAATGTAATAAAGACCGCTCACTGCTGCTCTCCTTGTGCAGGGTGACTGGTCTTGTCTCCGCCCCCTCCTATAATAAAGAGCGCTCACTGCTGCTCACTCTCCTTGTGCAGAGTGACTGGTCTGGACTCCGCCCCCTTCATGTAGTTTTCTCCATGCAGCCTGTAGTGGGTGGAGCCTGCTGGGTCCCTCCCGCAGCTCTGCTCTCTGTACAGGCTATGTACAGCACAGTGATGATATCACCACTACATTTTCAGTGTAATCTACAGGTGAAACTCGAATAATTAGAATATCGTGCAAAGTTCATTTATTTCACTAATGCAACTTAAAAGGTGAAACTAATATATGAGATAGACTCATTGTATTCAAAGCAAGATAGTTCAAGCCGTGACTTGTCATCATTGTGATGATTATGGCTTACAGCTCATGAAAACCACAAGAACCCCAAATCCACAACCTCAAAAAATTAGATTATTACATGCAATCAATAAAACAAGGATTGTACATAGAACAATATCGGACCTCTGAAAAGTACAAGCATGCATATGCACTCAGTACTTGGTTTGGGCCCCTTTTGCAGCAATGACTGCCATTACTTTTGCACGATATTCTAATTATTCGAGTTTCACCTGTATATGCAGAAGTATTTTATACACAGAAAGTGGATTTATTTATTTTGTGGCTATTAAGGAATATATTTGAAAGGTTTTTCTGTGCTGGAAGTTCAGCTTTAAAGTGAAACTTTATCCCGAAACTTCCCTGAGGCTCATCACCTCCTCTTCCTCCAGGATTATTTGGAAGCTCTGATCGGTATCTGCTATGATGGTGTTGAGGGTCTTCTTTATCTGGGTCTCTTCTCTCTGCTGGCGGCATTGGCATTTACCGCTATGGCATGTACCGTGCCGGCTGCCTGGAAGCTGATACTAGCGAGGTGAGAGCCTAATAATTATATTACTATTCTTTATTTTTTTTCTGTTTTTGTTTTTTAATATCAAACAGGGAAACATTACAGTCTCCTTCCTACTTCTTTCCTTCCTTCCTCCATTCCGGTCTACTTCCTCCCTCCCTTCTTTTTTCCTTTCTCCCTACCTACCTCTTCTTTCTTCCTGCTTGTCTTCCTAGAACATAAGGTGATCACATGTCTCATTTCATCACATAATCCCAATAAAGGTTATTCCTCGCCTTAGGTCAGTGGGAGGAACCATGAAAATCATTCTTTTACGCCCCATTGCCAAGTTGCTCATGCGGAACTGCTGGTGCATAGAGCAAATACAGCCTAATACCATAGTCGTCTATTCCAAACTGCACACAGCTGTTTCAGGCTTTTTGGCCATCATCAGTGCCGTGTATGGAAACCATGGAGTAGGGCTCGGGACCCAACGAGACAGAGTAACCATACAGGTCAAAGGAATGATTTTCATGGCTCCGCCCACTGTCCTAATATGAGGCTTAATCTTTATTTTTGGGATATGTGATGGGACCGGACATTTAAATACCTTCTATTCTAAGAAGACTTTACTCATTGATACAGTTAAAGGGCTTTATGATTCCGTTTTCATTTCTCACAATAACTTGTATCATTTTACTGTTTCTGTATTTCAATAAGCTCTGAATTTTCTTCAAAGTAACTCTGACATTGAATTAAAAGCTGCATAAGAAGAGGCTTTATACTCCATCGTCCCATCGCCCATTCCTCCCATCTTTGCCCTTTTGTAGAGCATCGGCCTCTTTACATGATAGACACTCCTGGGGGTATTGGATGCCTGGTTTGCCCCCCCAGTATTTGCACATGGGCATTTTGTCCCGCCAAGCCGCCTGCACCTCTCGCCCCTCCCAACCCCCCCCCATTTCCCGTGCACTGTGGCTCCCCCCACAAGTCCCTATGTCACAATAGTGATGCAGGGCAGAAGGAACCCCATCATGCGTCAGGGGAGGCCGGTATGTCACAATCCCGGAAGTGTTGAATGTGAAGATTCTTCGGGTGACCATAGTTCCTGAATCAGAGGAACCAGATGATGGAGTATAAAGCCTCTTCTTATGACAAAGTCACTTTAAACCCATGTGAGGTCTTCAGAGGTCAGCTATGGAGGGTTCTGCTGTGAATGTGGATGGTGCGTGGCTTGTGTTAAAGGGCCGATGCTTTGTTACGCAGGGAGAGAGATTACAACGACATGGACGAGGCGGATCCGTTTAACCCGCAAGCGAGGCGCATAGCCGTGCACAACCCCAACCGGGCTCAGCTGAGGAGCTTCTGCAGCTACAGCAGCAGCCTGGGGAGCCAAGCCAGCCTGCACCCGCCCACCCAGGCCGTCTCCAACGCCCCCGTCGCTGAGTATATGTGAGTACCGGTACCAGAACTACAAAAGAACATTTCAGCATCAGAATTGAACGTCACGTAACTCACCTCGGGGGCATCACCCTGCAATGTTCATTACGGCATATGCATCTTCCACCGTACTGGCTATATTCCTGTAGGTTGCTGGCATCCTCATCTTCTGAGTTTGCACCTGTGTTCCCTGGTTCCAAGCCCCGCCCTCTGTTGTGTAGAGCCGCTAAAGGGTCATGTGATGCCTCAGGTCCACCCAGAAGCACTGTGGAAAGGCCGCTGAACATGGCTGCAATATACAGTGTTATGTAGAACTGTGTATCCATCCAACGCTGCACAGAGAAAGGAGGAGCTTTGACGAGACCGAAAGGGGGTGGGGTTTGTCACACAAATCCCTCCCATATCTCGATTTCCATCGAGGCCCCACCCCTTTCAAATGTTTTTTTTTACAAGATCCAGTGTTTCTGGATAGTTCCTGTATTTTGCAATACATTGGGGTGGGGGACATATTTTAAGTAATCCTGTTCTAGGGGGAAATAAGTACACAGCCAATCTGAGATCTGGATAATAGCTTGAACCTTGGCACGTGGTGGGCGTGCCCAAGTCTATGCAAATACTGACTCCAAGAAAGGTCACTGTTTGCATAGGAAATCCAGGAGGCTGCCCCGCCTCCATTGCATCATGAACGTGGAACAATAAGGAGCTTGGCATCTTTTGTTTTAATGGGAACATTCCCTATAATGGACATGATGGATTGGCGGAGGGGAAGCATAGACCTAGATCGTCTTTTTCCCGGCTCGCTCATCCTCAGCCATGATGTGCCCGGGAGGAGGACCGGCCAGCGGCTTTGTTCCGTGGGTGCAAATATGTAAACATTTCTGCCCATGTCTCCGGCAGGATGGAGATACCATTAAAAGATTCCTAGGTAACTATTATTGATCCATGTCTCCCTTTCTTTCCAGGAATCAGGCGGCTTTGTTCGGAGGTAATCCTCGATATGAAAACGTGCCTCTGATTGGGAGAGGATCGCCCCCACCCACGGTACGCTGGGCTTCCGAATCTAAATCCTTCTTGTAGCACAAATTTTACAGCTTTATATAAAAGCAGAGAAAGGGGGTAGGGGGTTCGAAACCTGATGTTAATGCAGGGCCATAACCACAGATGGGGGAGCCCCCCTTGCTGACCTCTCTCTGAGCTTTGAGTAACTATACCCAGATCCCAAAGGCTCCTCTTGTGCATCAGAAGTAATTTCTACACTGTAGACGTTACAAGAGATTAGAGATGTCAAGTGTAACTACCCCTACTCCTGCAACCTAATGGGGCCCCCTTCCACCCCCGGGCCCCATAGCAGCTGCCTGGGCTGCTATGGCTATAGTTACGCCACTGTGTTCCAGTCTACCTCGGCTTGCTGCAGAGAAGCAACCAATCGGCATTAGCCTTTTATATTCCAGTGTTGTGTCGAGGTGGCCAACTTGTGACGTCACATGCATTGTAGATTTTGACGAGATGGCGCTAGTGCACATTACCGTTTCTGTAATCCTCGTTGACTTCTCCTGTTGCCGTAGATGCGCCTGTGTGGCTTCGAAATGGTCGAGTCCTCCAACTCCCATCGGTGCTTGTGGCATCAGGCGCACTGCCGCTGATTGTACAGCTTGATGCTTCTCTTGGGTAGCTGCACTGACGGGAGTTGGAGGTCTCGACGAGTTGGAGAATTCAATAGAACACCGGTGTAATTTAGCAAACATCTGGAAACTACAGACAACACAAGCACATCGTATCTCATTATTTTTTCGTAGCAGTCCCAGCATGATATAGATAAATATGTTTGTTCTATGCAGCTGGGAAATGTACTTTTTTTTTTTTTTAAATCCGTTCTTCCTGACCCATTGAGGGTATTTCCTATATTTCCTTCAATGAACTCTGAAAGGATTCAACACGCCCTTCGTCTTTCCTGTAAACAGAATCTTGAGATCTGTTTGTCCACAAAGAGCCCATTGAAGAAGTTCAGACCGTTTCTTCTCGGCCTTCTGTAACCTTATGTTGGTTTTGTTCCCCGCTCTACGAAGGTTTGAAGGTTGCGATGTCCAGACGAGGAGTTAAAGGCAGATTAGTTGAGGATGGCGGAAATTATCTGCAAATTTTCAACAGAAGCTCTTTATGAATTTGGTTGACTGTCTATAAAATGGAGTGCACGGTGCTTGTGTTCTCAGCAGAGACACTGCAATGGTCAGCTTTATACATAAAGAAAAATTGTCTTCAGAATCAATCCCCCCCCCCACAATGCACCAGATACACTATATGGCCAATAGTATGAGGACCCCCCTACCAATGATGGAGTTCAGGGGTCTCCAGTGAAGGTTCTGTTCATCATACAAAGACATTGTAGACAATTGGGCTCTTCCAGCCTTGTGGTGACAGTTTGGTGAAGACCCTTTTCTGTTCCACCATGACTGTCCCCTGTGTACAAAGCCAGCTCCATAAACACATGGTGTGACCAGCTTGGTGGAGGAACTCGAGTGTCCTGCACAGATGCCTGACCTCAACCCTACTGATTAGCTTTCGGATGTATTGGAATGCCAATTGTGAGCCGGGTCTTCTCATCCACCATCAGTAACTGACCTCAACCCTACTGAACACCTTTGGGATGAATTGGAACGCTGATTGCGAGCCGGATCTTCTCATGCAACATCAGTACTAGTGATGAGGCTGGACTTGGTGCAAACTCTGCCACAGATTGTTTTGGAAGGAGGGGAAGGCAGTCGGAGTTTTGATGGTGCTTGGGTGAACTGAGTTCACACCATGCCCAGTCTCATCTCTAATCATTACCTGACCTCCCAAATGGGCAGAAATTCCCACAGACAACCTCCAAAATCATGTGGAAAGTTTTCCCAGAAGAGAAGAGGCTGGTACAACTGCAAAGTGGGGGCAACTCTATATTAATGGCCATGTTTGGGTGGATGGACGAACTACATATTAATGACCATGGGGGGAAGGCAGAGGACTTCATATTGATGGCCATGGCGGGTGGGATTCTATATTGATGGCCATGGGGAAGGGGACTGTATATTCAGTACTGATGGGTTCTCTCTGCTGACTTTTTGTGATGCATATAAATTGTTCCATATAGAATGGTGTTGCCAGATGTTAAAGGGTCTATTTATTAAAAACCATTGCATAGCTGTTTGTCCTGCAATACTGCAGGAACATTCCTTCTGTGCAAGTTAAACGGCTGTTGTGAGAATGGGGCACAATCCAATGTCCGTAGTGTATTTTCTCTTCTGGTCATATCTTCAATTGATTAATTCATAAAGAACAGAGTGTATGGGGGGGAAAATACCGCATTCTACTAGATGGGGCTGATGATCATTGGAAATAAACACACATTAGTGAGAAGATGCAAATCTTTCCATTCAAGAGACCCCTGGAGGGAATGAGTATATAAATGTAACAGTTGCTATCCCTATAGTATCAGTGGTTACATTTATATGCTTATTAGCAGAAGGACAGTCATAGGAAATAAATATACATTAGTAACTGGATACAGTGTGTGTAATTATATATATATATATATATATACACAC